GGAGAACCATACATTAGCTACCCCCAACAGTGCAACTTTTCACATACTATGTTTTGCGCTTGCTTAATTGCTGTTGCAAAATATTCTTCTGTGATTATTTTACATTTTCATGTACTTCTCTGCTTTTTCTGTAGTAAATATTACATGGATGCCAAAGTAGCCAACATCAATTGGTACAAAGACAGGATTTCAGAGAAAGGGCCCACTCTGTTTTCACAAACTCTGAATTTAACAATGTTCAAGAGTAAGCAAACATCTCTAGTCAACAATAATTAAACCAAGTTTATGTTGAGTGTTCAGAAATCACTTAACATTTAGGAGTAAGTTCACAGCTGGCTGGCAGTCTTCCAAGTTGCAAATCTCTTTTGAGCCTTGTTAATGACATCAATCTAATCTAGATTAATGGAGTACTTAACTCTTTCCAAACATTACAGTGCCAAAACTATTTCAACACCAAAAGCTTCTGGGGCAGGGGAAGAGGGAAAGTAATTTTATAAGAGAAAATGAATGCACCCCAAGAGTGTCCTACCACACCACTCTTGTAGCTAATTTGAATGTCACTTTACCAGGCAATTCATACGAATATTTTAAGAAGGCAGCATTGTTTTCTTTTAGTAGGTTGATCTTTTCAGAGTTAAAATGTTACAAGAGCTAGTTTTTGTAGCTTTAGTGTTACATTTGCCACTACAAAGGAAGATTGAGACTGTGTAACCTTCCCATGAGAAGTCTTACTAGCCTGTTTGAAAATGTCCAATGTCTTTGTACAATCTCACCTGCCAAAGCAAAGTTAGTGTCTCATATTAAAGAACTACACTCCATGATCACACCATAGTATTTGCTGTTTAAGGTGCCCTGCACTGAATTCAGGTACCTTTTAAACCAGTAGATTTCATCAGGATCTGCAATTCCATTTTCTCTGAGCTTCATCACCATAAGAGCACTCTTCCTGATAGCTTCTTCATAGCGCTGGCTGCGGGAAAGGAAATTTACATCCTCATGCTTGAAGTCTGGGTCATTTATGGCAAGTGCTTCTGTAGAGAGCACGAAAGGACAGAAGAAATGTTCAGAATTCATTCTTTAAACAAATTCTTCATCAAATCAGTGGACAGAAGACAACACCGTATTAATTATGGATAAACTGTTGCTGCAATCTCAAGAATGAGATTTTTATTTATTTTATTTATTTTTATTTTATTTATAAAATTTGTATGATGTCCAATTACTTGCATCTCTGGACGACTTACAACATAAATAAATGTTAGGAGAAACAGCTCTGAAACAGCACACTGAAAGTGTTCCTTTTCCAATTACAGAGATATGATATGTTGGATTCACCATGGCTACTATCAACAGGTAGTATTTGTCATATTAACATGAAGACTATCAATCATGCACATGTCAGTGTGGGTTCAACATAGTCATTCATATTCATTTGCATTGCGTTCAGTATATTCAGAACTTGGCATAAAGGCAATGCACCAGTGTGGCATCATGAAATAGTCTTCACTGTCCGAACAATTCATAGCTAGCTGGAGAGAGAACATCTTCTCTAATGCACCATGTTAATTTGAAATAACTTCCAGGTTCCCCATTCACAAATCACAGTTCCATGTAGTGGTTAAAAGAATGAGCTGCAAGCCAGAAGAACTGTGATTGCGATCTTACATGAATAAATTAAGTTGTCCAAAACCCAATAATGTCAACATGAATAGCTGACAACATTTAGTTAATTAGTTTGTTAGATTAATCCTTGTTAGGAGCAATCCGATGGCCCCTGGCCAATGTCTGAAGAGCCACAGGGTATATAAGATTCCCAGCTCGGAGGACGGAAATTGCACCATAAGCTTTGAGCTGGGAATTGGAGCTCCCTCTCCCCCCACCCCACGGCCAGCATGGAATAACTATGTCAGGTGTATCTTTGAGCCCAGGAGCACAACCCTGAAGAAAGGCAAAAAGGGGGTGGAGGGGTTGGTGGATGGGGAGGAGATTGCAGAGGGCAGGATATGAGCTATCCCAAGGCCTTTCCAGCTTCAGCAACACTTAAAGGAGGCAACAGACCAACATATGCAAGAACTTTGAAAAACTATGTATGACAGGAATCTTTTTAGAACGGGCAAGCCCCCCTCTCTACCATGCTAGATGAGGAAATCCCTCCTTTTTAAAATTAGCTTAATGTAATATATGTGAACACAGAACAAGGACACACACCCCGCCCAGCAATGACTTTCTATACGCAAAGTTATCCGTTTTCATCAGATTGTAAGAGTTTTTAAAAGGGAGAGAGAAGGCACTGAAACCATCACATGACCTGTAGAACCCGGTTTTACTGTCTGCAATCTCGCATCATCATCATTATTTTAAGACGATGACCATGCATGACATGCCGATTACAACGTTCAGGCTGCTTTTCCTCACTTGCTCTCATCCCTTTCTCTCAACCTGCTTTTTCGTAACGGCTTGCTTGATGAAGAGATTTCGGAACCTTGCATATTGTTTTGCAATCTTTTGATGGGTGCAATAAACTATAATATTATCACCCTAAGCATGGATTTTGGAGTTCCTAATTTGTAGGTGGAATCATACAATCATAGTCAGGTTCCTATGGAGCTTCACCGCCTTTTAGCCACTACTCCCACCCACTAACCCAAGCAGCTCTCACCGATCTCCCTGCGGCGCTGGGTCCGCTCGGCACCCCCGTCCAAGAGGTGAGTGAGAAGCTCTGTGTTGAAAGAAGCCGCCTCCCGCTCCTTGCGTAGATCTGGGTTCATGTCGGTGGCCATGGCCGGGCGCACAGCTGCTTTGACGGCAAGAGAAGGAACCGGTTGCGGGAAAAGCAAAAAACGGATGAGACACTCGCGAAAAGCTTCCGGACGAGCGAGGAATAACCCCTCCCCGCCCACTCGCCCGCCACGTGACGCAGGCGGGTTCCCTCGGCAAGTGTCCAATAGGAAGCCTCTTTCTGCCCACGTGGTACCAGAGGAGTAGCTACACCGGCATGCGTGCCCACTAAGGGGAGAGACGCGCGCGCATTGGCTGGGGCGCTGTGAAACTGGCTTTGCTAGTAGGGAAGGGAGGGGCGACCGGGGCGGGGAGAGGGGGAGGGGACGCGGAGGCGGTAGGGAGATAAGGGGAGCGTGTCCCGCAGTTTCCTCACGTACGCCCAATTAGCTGGGGCTATTAATGGCTAGAAAAGCGCTAGGCTTTCATGAAGTGCCACAAGACTCTTCGCTGTTTTTGTGGCATTAGAGCTTTTGCTTTTACCGCATTTTGCTCTTCGTTTCGTGGCTAGGTGACGTGATGACGAATATGCATATTAACTTGTACCTCTAAACTCGTTTCAAACTTTGGGATGTGGGATGACTTATGTATGGAGAGTTCCTGCATTTGCAAGGTCATTAAGACCTTTGATACGTAAGCGAATGCAGGTTACTTTTATTTTGTTTCCTATATTCAAATAGGTGTAGCGTGCTTTTCCATCACAATGTAGCCTTCAAGGCTAGACTTCACCACCTATTCCTGCACTTCACTTCTTTCCTAATTTTCTAAGTATATTTCATAATCTTTGAAGAGTGAAGAACACCCCCTTAAAGGTTTGCTTTAATTTTTGTAGAATCTAGAAATTACATAAGATGCTTCCAGCTGCTGGAATATACCACTTTCCTTGGGAAATAAACTCGGCATCGGTCTCGGAGGGGAAGACCCTGAGAACATTTGGCAGGTCAGTAGGAGCATTTTCTGAGCAGATGCAGGCTTAAGTTCAAACAGCTGCACTCCAGAGTATGTGGCACAGGCCTCATAATTCTTGATGCAATGTGCTAAGAACTCTGAAAATATTGTACATACTGTATTTGAGATTTTTTAAAATTTATTTCAGGCTGCAGTCCTATGATATGGTCAGCTCCCAAGCCATATTAACAAGTCAGCATGCTTCAGTTCAGCACTGTATAAGGGTTTGCACCAAGTTCGTGGAACCATTCCAAGCCCAACTTGGGTCTCTGTACGTTGCTTTGGGGGAAGCTGAATTTGAAGAGGGTAAGAATGTCTTTTCTTTTATATTCCAAGGTGCTGAGAGGAGTTTAACCATGGGAATAGGTGTCATGAGCCAAGAATAGGTGTTCTTTCCTTCGCACATTCAAGAGCCATACCAGCTCCATCTGTTTCTGAGAAACTCCCATGTTCTAAGCTGCCTCTTAATAACTGTACATTTTGGTTATTCTCAGAGGCCTGTCAGAGCACATGGGGAGTTTGGCCTCGAGCTAAGCACCTGCACTTCTCTCATCTCAACATCTGGAATTGGCCCACTTTCTGAGGGCACCTGTGCTCCTCTTCTTGAGTCCAGATCAGCATGCCCTGGGATTGCGTGCCAACAGCAACTACCTCTCTCAGTCTCAATTCTCTGAGCAGGAAAAATAACCCTTAAACCTGATTATATAAAACAGAAGCTGTAAGTTGACTGTATACACATATCAGAAGATCTGTGGGTTTCTCATGGATTTTGCAATGATAGACATTGCAATAGTAGTTAATATTGTATGGGAAGTACTAAAGGAGTGCTGTAAGCCGCCCCGAGGTTTCGGCAAGGGGCGGCATGGAAATGTTATAATAACAACAACAACAACAACAACAACCTTGGAAAGCAGGTAGAGTGAACAGATGGTCCCTGTTTTCATTCTCTGTCACTGGGGGCATAGCTGTAGTATGCAGTAGATACGGTTCCCATAGCTTGAATCTCTCACAATTCAGCCTGTGCTGCTCTCCTGATGAAATGACTGTTGGGATCAGTACTTTCTGTCTAGTCAACTTTCCCCCCCTTAGCATGGAATAATCTCAAGGAAATTGATGCCTTCTTTTTATAGTAGCATGTTCATGTGTCCCATTTGGAGCATGTTTGCATGAAAACTAAGATTGCATTCCTAACCAGAAACAAAGAGAGATGGCAGCTGCTGAATAAAACACAAAAAAGAGGTTTTAGATTAGGGCTGGGGAACATATAGCCCTCCAGAAATTCTTGGGCTGCATCTCCATTAGTTCTAGCCAGCATGGGCAATGGTGAAGGATAGTGGGAGTTGCAGTCTAGATATATCTAGAGAACTGTATGTTCCCATGTCTGCTTTAGGCCATAAGCCTAGCCCTAGCCATTCTTCAGGAGGTCTGCAAGAAGCCTTGCAATTCTGCAAAGAGAACTGGAGGAATCAAAGTTCTCCAGCAATTAGTAAGACACCTGATGATTGCCTTGTGGGGGAGGTCCTTTAGAAGACACCTTCACATATGGAGGGCACTTATGTTCAACTTATGTTGAACACACGGGAAAGAGTTTTGTTTTATGTTGCTCTCAAACTCTGGAATGCCCTTTCTTTGCTAGAGTTACAACTGTTCTCCCTGTATGCATTCAGGAAAGGATTCAAGAGGTCTCCTTTTAATCAGTTGAATTGTTATGGGTGTCTTAAGATTTTAATCTTTTAGGGTTCAGTATCCTATAAGTTGCATCCTGGATGATGTAAGCCCCTGAAATGAGGCTTACAGTCATCCAGTGCAGAGCAGGAGGTGATCTTTACCTTACTCCTGCCCTGCATCTTTGGCTAGACTAGTGTTATTTGTGTGTGTGGCTGGCTGACTGGTCTGTGTTATTTAAGAATATTTGTATATATACTCATACTTTTTTGCCTGTCTAGCTGAGGTTTTCAGAGGGGGCAGTGCTTCAAGTTCACTCATATCCCAATCTCTCCAACTGCCTCCCCTCCCATTAAAATCCCCCTTTTTCCCTTTTCCAGCGTATTCCGCAACTTGGGAGGGAAGCCGGTGCATTTCTTTCTGCACTGGCTGTATGGCATTGAAGGAGGGAAGTTAGTTCTTGCTGTCTTCAAAGTTGGACTGTGGAATTCAAAGTATCTGATGGCCCCTCCAACACTGCTTTGGTTGGTTAAAGAGGGCACTTTATATATTCAGTATACATTCAGTCAATCAAGGATGAAAGTTTTCCTATCCATACCCTGCTGACATCTTTTATAGTCCCAGAGAAAAATAAGATAGGTTTATTCAATATAAATATTATAGAAAACATTGTATAGTTCTGTTTAGAATAGCAGATAAAAAGTTCTAGAGAAAGTACATGCCCTTTAATTTATGCCTTGAGTGCTGGTCCCTCAATATAATATGACTAGTCAATGTTATATACAGTAGTGTTTCTTTATCACTTTACTCTGCCAGGGTGATATGTATATTGTAGGGGAGTTTGACACCACCTAGCCCAATTGGGTTATATGTTCTGAAGACATTCTTGTTTTGGATCCTAATTTTATAAGGTGCATTTCTTGATTGGTATCAATTAAATCTGAATGCCAACACCTTTTTGCACCAAATTACTGTGGTGATCTTTAAGTCTTCTCAGCTAATCCTTGGTCAAACTATTTCTTGGTTATTTATTAATTAAATACATCTTTATCCCACCCAATAGCCCAAAGAGTGGTTGCACTCTTAAGGTACAAGAACATATGGCATATCTTGATCTTCCCTTCTGTGTCTTCCTGTTTGGTATTAGAGAAACACTCAAGGTTTTGTGGGTGTAATTGCTCTAAAATTCATCCTAGTATGCAGATTAGAAAAACAAGGAAACAAGGAAAAGTTATAGCCTGGAAAATCATGTGTAAAGCTTGAGTTTCAAAACAAATGTCCTGTTTGATTCTAGGGCTGACCTTTCTGAAGCATATGACCTATGAAATAGTCATACCTTCTCCTTCCATCTCTCTCTACCTTACTGGTGCATTATGGTCATGTGAAATACTTTGTTCTAGCTTTCAGTGTGGAATGTGCTCCCTTCTCTGCTTTTCCCACTTCATTCACATTCCTGGCTAAGTTCCTTGGCTGAATTCTGGAACAAATGCATAAATTCAAAAGGAATGCAATGCATTGCTTTGCACAGATAAGCAGATCCTAGCAGGGAAAAGGGCAGAGATTGACTGGGGTATCCAGCATGTAGTCTACAGAACCACTTTCTGTTGGCTGAACAGTCAAGGCTGAGGAGGAGCCTCTGCTTTCTGTGCTATGGAAACAGAATTCTTGCAGCCCTAATTCATCATCAGAATTGTAGTTTCTGGTACTTGTATATTATTTTTACAGTAGGGACACTAGCAATGTGGTTTCCTTGGTGCATCCTGCTCATCGTCCTATGTTTGTCACAGTGGTAACATTGTGCATAGTTTGGAAAACCATTGGAAAGCAGGAACGGCCTCTGATGCTACCAGCATGTGATATTCTGCATTCATGCTCCTTAACGTGATGCACTCATGTCAAGCGATAGGAAATGGAGTCTGCCACTGAATCAAAAGTTTGGGCCCCCTTGGTGCCCCCCTGACATTTGTTGCGTCACCTAAATGGAATAGCATATATCAGATCTGGGGTAAGACAATTAGAACATGATCTGTCTGTTTAGAGTATTCTGCAGAATCAATTTGAAATATGTTCATTATATTTGCATTCAAGACTTTGCACTGGCCCATTATCAAATGCCCATGTCAAACTGCTCTGATACGATGTTTTCTAAGCATTTGTCAGCATATTTAGCATTAGGACAAGTTTTCTCTTACTCTATTTCAGGTTGCATTATAAAATAGAGATGAGTAGAATTTTGTAAGCTGCATTGGGTTCCTTGCAAGAAAGAAAAAGGATATAAATGTAATATAATAAAATAATTGATTATGGCAAAGCATTAAGAGATCCTTTGAAAAGTTAATACCTTTTGATTAATTTGATTTTTATATTTTATTTATATATATTTTATATTTACAGGTGAAGCAATGGTGTTAAAGGCCCGTGTGTTTACATGTGTCGAAGGAATGAATCTTCAATTGTTGGAGAAGGCCATTGAGGAACAAAGAAAATATTTCCAGGAAAGGAAGAAGAACCCGGAAGGGAGCAATTCTTAGTGTTGTGCTTTGGAGGGACTTAATCCATGCTATCCTGGATGTAGCCAGTTCCTCCTTTTCCTTTCTGCCCATCTGTCCTGTTTGCTGTATCATTTTGTAACAGTTTCTTGAAATGATAATGCCCTTTTTATAACCAGAACTTGTTTTTAAATATTCTTGTATTTTTATAGTAAAAATATGCACTGAAATGCACTTTTGTTTGTCCTCTCCCTTGACAGAGGTGAAAGCAGTCTCAAAGATATTTCTTTGCTCTAATGGCAGATACATCACCATTCAATCTTCTATTCAAGCAGGCTGTCCATTCAGGTTGCTACATGAGCCCTGGGTGAAAAAAGTTTGGCTTCCAGCATGCCTAGATTGGCTAGTTCTTAGGTTTGTATTGCGTTGTTCACACAAAAATTCCCCCTCTTGAATAGAGATGGTATTCTTGTTATGCCCCTGATGTTTCTGGAAGCTTTTCAGGCTGTCATTTGGAACCTAAATGGATTATTGAGCCAAAATGTAAAGGTAATGCCAAGTAAATACACAGTGCATAGTACACAATACACATGTCAGAAAACCCACATATCTGATGCTCCTTCTTAACAGAACCATGCAACATGGCAGAACTGAAACAACAGCTTTATTTTTTTAATTTTCAGAACAACACCTCTAATTTATTGGGAAGGCTAAGGAGAAGCTCCTTTGGCAAAACATTGTATCTTTTAATTTTTTCTTAAATTGTAGAAGTCCTGAGGTCCCTACTATGTTTCAGTCTCGCATACTTGCTACAATCAAATTATCAAACTATGACAGAGTTTACTGAAGTTCTTCTTGTGATTTAATCTTAGTTTTCAAGAGTACCTTATGAGATTTGAGGTGTTTGTCCTATTTTGAATTCATAGCTAAAGCTGAGAAACTTGAGTGCAATTTGTGCCCAGAACATTTTCCTAACTTTTAGTATTCAGCCAGGAAGTCCTTTGGGTTTACTTTCCTTTGAAGGCAGATAATTGCCATTCATGCACTGTTTCTTTCCTGGGTTTGTCAAACATACCAGATTTTACCTATAAGGTCTATCATTGCTTTCAGCTCCTGAGCTACATTGAATGCAAAGCCATCCAATCTACTGCAATTTCCATAGCACCATCTTTGTGCCCAAATTCTGCAAATGCTAATTTTACTCAATCTCTTCCATAGAATCAGAGTGACAATATCAGAAGTGATCTTAAGAGAATACAGGGAGGCATCCAAACAAAGTGCTATACTAGTAGAGGCCTCAGGCATCCTCTCATTGAAGCAGGAATGCTGCAGTCACAACAAAGAGCTTAAACTTAGTAGCCTAAATAACTGTATCCACACAGCAGTCTGTTTCTGCAGGAGCCAACCCATATCTATGGGAAGTCCACAAGCAGGACACGAGTGCAATAGCATGGTTCTGTTCATGTTCCCCAGCAACCAGTATAAATAGCCATTTTGCCTCTGAAACTGGCTAGGTAACATCTTGCCATCAAGGCTAGTAGCTGCTCATGGCCATATTCTCCATAAAACTGGCTAAAGTGGCCATCAAACATCATGCATTAAATTCCATATACTGAGTATATGCTGTGTGAAAATGGTTCTGTTCTGAATCTCTCACTAATCAGCTTCATTAGATGATCCCAGGTTCTAGTACTACAAAAGAAAAAGTTTCATTAGCTACTTCCTGTTCAACATGCACAACTTTGTATACCTCTGTTTTGTTTCCCCAGCCTGGCTTGCTTTTTCTCTACAGAGCCCCAAACATTGTAACTTTCCTTTTTAGCAGAGTTGTTCCAGTCTCCTGATCAATTTGGATGACCCTTTATGCTCTCCTCTCAGCTCTACAATTCCCTAAGATCAAGAAACATATCATTAATCCCATCTGAACTTTGTCTGTTGTTAAATTTCATGGGACTGGTCCTCGTTATCTACATATGAAATAAACTTGCCAGGGCAAGGAGCAAAAGCTCCTTGGTGGTAGTGTACTAGTGAGGCAGCCTGATGTAATACTCTTTTGGGAGACTGATAAGACACATACTTACTTAAAAGACTACTATAATGCAGTCTTCTGGTATAATCCTATTATTGATTTTGAGGTCATCAACTAAGGAGATATCACATACCTTATTTTGCTTGTTAGTCTTATTTCACATGCATTCATTATACAATGTCCCATGTTGAATCAGTCTTTGATGCCAGCAGTTCTTTAGCAGAGTGTTAACAATGAAATTACATACAGATCATTTGGGAGTAGCTACTAACCAAACATGCTATTTACAGGTTCTATACATGGATTAATGCTTGCCAGGTTTCATTTTATAGCCTCCATAGTCCTTGATGGTCAACCAGTAAGAGCACCTTGTTGCACTGTTCTCATTGTGGTTCAAATGAGGTTAAGGGCCTCCCTTGCTCTTTGATTAATAGTTCTCTAAAGCAAGCCATCAGGGGAAAATATCTTGTTGGCTTGCTACTGCCAAAGATAGATTTCTCATTCTATAATGACATGAAAATTTTGAGAAGTGTAGCTGCTTTCCTAATGACATTAGTAAAGTACACACAAGACATAAGGCAGATAATATAGGCTGTATCAGAGAAAATTGTACAATATTTAATTACAGGCCTTCTATGTTTTACCTTGGTTTCCTTAATGGACATCTTGATAAAACTTGGAAATCAGTAAAGGGTTTTTAACCTTAACTGTAGTGTGCCTACTCTGAATTATTAGTCATTTTCTTTCATCTATGTTTAACTTGGTGGTTTTTAACTTTTGTAATATTCTGCATATATTATATTTTTCTGTTATTGTGTGATGACTTAGGGTTATAAATGATAAAAATGAACCATGTGTAAATTAAAGTATATGTACACCTATATGTTGGAAAGGCATTTTTTTTCCAAATTGCTATTTTGAATTATCAAAAGTAATCAAATTATTTTCTCTGTGGCATGACTTCGACCACAATGTTCACTATAGTGCTGGAGGTAAGAGCATAAAATATATACCATCTCTCCTGCATTAATAAATGTTCTTGAAATTGTGGATTTTACATACCACCCCTCGTTTAAAGTGCAACTTGTTTGCTTAAGCATACTAAAGCTAATATGTGCAGTTTATTTATTAATAAATTGCTTTAATTTGGATGAGTAGGATGAGAACAAAGTTACTTATTTTCAATGCTATCTAATGCATGTGTACTACCTGCATACCTGACTATAGAGCTTATACCCTCAGGAATGGCTGCATCTCATTTTCCCTTTTAATTTTTATGTGACTACCACTGCTACCAGAACTACAGAACTTGTCTCCTTGGAGACCATGAGAGTCTCAGAAAAACTATAGTCCATGAACAGCTGAAGAGAAACTAAATCAGTTTTAATGATTTTGATTATTTACCCATACATATAATTACAAGCAGACCCAGAACCTACTCCGCATGTATTGCTTCATCTGAAGTCCAACATTTTTTCAGCTTTCAGGAAAGCAGGCATTTAAGATATATTAGTTAAAGATAAATGCTACAAAATCTGGTTATCTGTGTGCTTTTTTTTATTGTACATACTATACTTGGTGGTGATGAATTTTAATGTTACCCTCTACTGGTAGGAATTGGGAGGTGAATTTTGACTCCGTGGGGACCCAGTAGTTTGGCAGAAAGGAACGATATGGAGGCGAATGGAAGACTGGATCAGCACGCAGGAAGTCTTGTGAGAATCTGGGAGCTTAACTTTACACTTAAATGGCTGGTTTGGCAAACTGTGATTCATCGGAAATATGAGGTGTCTTAGGAGCTAGTGTTCAGGCTCTCTTTAGCTGGGGCCTGGGCCTGAGGCCTACTGAAGTTAAGTGGCATTCAGTAAGCCTTTTAAGAGTACTGCACCAGACAGAGGATGACTCTTATTCAGAACATTCCTAGTCCTGTACCCACAATTACAGAACCAAGCACATGGGTTAGAATGATACCCTGTTTTTTGGAATCTTAGATTTGGCACCCCATTTTCTTTTTATTCGAGTCCAGAGTTCTCTTTCCTGAAATCTCACAAACAAAGACCCGAAGACATTCAGCTTTGCAGGGCCTCACCTCAGCCAGCCTTCACAACCTCTTGTGGCTAGACATCTCATTTAAATAAGGCTTCTATGAAGAAGTGTCCTCTTTTGTCTCCCAAATCTATTGCCAATCAGCTAGATGGTGACCTCAAGTTCATGTATTATGGGAGAGGAATAGAAAAATACACTCCTACACAGCATTAGTGTATGAGGGCAGTGCTGAATGTGCAAATTGGGAGGTGAATGAACAGTGCAGAGAATCAGTATGTTGTACAAGTGGCCACCAGTGTTTACCTATGGGTAGCCTGGGTGGGAGAGTCACATCTTTACTTGGCTATGAAACTCATTGTGTCACTCTGTGTGAGTCACTGCCTTTCAGAGTCATTTGCTTCACAGGACTCTCTTGAGATTAAAATGTTGCTCTGAACATCTTGGAGAAAGGGTGGGATTCCAGTAAGACTACCTCTATCTGTTATGTGGGGATGGAAACATGCCCAAATTTACCATAGGTGCAGTAATGCAATCATCAATGCTGGGGACTGGCTTGTAGCACCCTTTCCCACAGCTGTGCCCTTCTGTTGGATGATGGGGTCATGTATGTCCTGTGGCTCTACTAGGCCTCCTAATCTAACCTGTCAATTCAATTGCTAACCTTGTAACACCAGGGCTGAAGCACAATTTAAATTCTAATCCGGTTGGCTACTGTACATGAACAGAGTTTCAACTCTTACCTTGTCCTTTCCTTCAAGCAGTAAACTACTTCAGGCTGTCTGGGATCATATGCTGGGGTGCATATGCGAAGGCAGCATTAAATGTTGCAGTAATTAGGAGGACCAGTTTGTTTACTAAAGTAGATTACAGTGTAAAAGAAGAAGGGGTAGCCCATTTGAAAATAGGTTACTAAAAATATTATTACATTTAAATAATACTTATGCACATCTGGGTAAGAGTGCTTCTATTTCTCAAAGCCTTGAGGATGGAAGAATGGTGGCATGCAATGGTATGGGGTACAGAAGTGGCACTAATATTCTGAGTAACTGTTATAGCAACAAGTCAGAAGACAAAGAATGGACACATTCCAGGATGTATTCCAGAAGGTGGAGAAGATTGGAGAGGGCACCTATGGAGTAGTATATAAGGCCAGAAACAAGCAGACAGGACAGTTAGTTGCTCTGAAGAAGATCCGTCTGGATTCGTAAGTATATGGATTGCCCTTTATGCCTAGTTAACAGATATTCTCCTGAATGTGTTATTCTCAGAAATTATGAAATGGTTCTCAAATAGTATTTGTATTGAATTGCAGTTTAAGCCACTGCACCCCCTGCATCCCTGAATTGCTCATGCGTGTTTCAAATCCCATAAGTTTGCCTGTAACATGTTTAGGATGTGAGAAACACAGATTTTTTTCACCTCTTAATCATGCTAGAAAGCCATGGGTAGAGTTTGTTCACATATGATTGTATTCCTAAAAGCAGGAGTGGGCAATATTTATCCCTCCAGTTGTTTTGGCCAACAACTCTCATCATTCAACACCATTG